TTTTTTTTTTTTTTGGTACCGGGGATTGAACTCCGGTTCTTGCACTTACAAGGCAGGCCACCGAACCACTGAGCTAAATCCCCAGCCCTTGGAGATTTTTTTAAAAAGCTGTTTTTAGCTAATGCTGTTTTTTTAGGAAACTCATTTTAGCAAAGATGATACTATATTATCTTTGATTATGTTTAGTACATGTTAATGACTATTCACATTCAGTTTTTTATGGTTTATAGGAAAAATTGAATTGGTCCACATAATTAGGCTGAAAATGAATTACAACAAGAATGATCTCTACATGTGTCCTTTTGGTTTGATTTTTAATCAGGAATGAATCTGTCCTGGTGAAATGGTGTCTAAAGTTCTACAATTTTCTCTTGGAAGTAAATTGATAGTGTTTTAGAAAACCTTTATTTTCTAATGTTCTACAGAGTAGGCTTTTAAGTCACTATAAAATTATACTATTGATGGTTTTCATTTTTTTAAACTAATACTTAAAATTCCATTTAAAAATATTGGAAGCTTAAATTCATTTTAAGATGAGAATTTTTATTTTTAAGCAGTTATAAGACACAAAAGTAGAAATAATATTCTTTGCAAGTATGAGGCTTTAGAAATTTCCTGGCTCACATGATTTCTGCTCTGCAGACATTAAAATTTGTTAAATCTCAGTAGTTTTTTTGGTGTTCTTTGATTGTCTTCAGCAGTTTTTCCAAAGATGATTTACATGAGTAAAAAATAATGCATACATAATGGCACAATGCTTTTGGAAGAGTTGCTTTATTATGGACTTGGGCTTACTTTAATAGAACTTCAAAAAATTCAAAGTATGAGTGTTTGTTGTGTTCCTCTTTTCTATTTTCAGGTCACACATGTTGAGCCATGGGAGAAAGGAAGCAGGAAAACAGCTGGCCAGACAGGGATGTGCGGAGGGGTAAGTAGAAGTACGTGCATTTTTTATTTTTTTTCTGTGTCTGATAACTGTTTATTGGAAAATTAAAGGTCTGTGTGTCATTACACATTCAAATGACAAGTTATTGGCAGATCTTAAAATTTGGAGAAAATGTTAAGTTTCCAGTGGTAGACAAGGTGGGGGGTTTTTTGTTTGTTTGCTTGTTTTTTTTGTCATTCTTGGTTCTGGATTGTGGTTGGTTTTGGTGGGGTTGTGTTGTTTTGTTTTGTTTTGTTTGCTGAGACAGGGTCTTGCTATGTAGTTCAGGCTGGGCTTGAACTCACTTTGTAGCCCATGCTGGCCTTGAACTCACAGTGATCCTCCTGCCTCAGCCTCCCCAGTACTGGGATTATAGGTGTGTATGCCACCATACCTGGCTTGGATTGTGGTTTTTTAATATGTTAAAAATACTGATTTTTTTTTTTTTTTTTTTTTTTTTTTTTTTTTTTTTTTTTTTTTTGTGTTTTCTTAATTTTCTTTTCCTCTAAAGGTTCGAGGTGTTGGAACAGGAGGAATTGTTTCTACTGCTTTTTGCCTATTGTACAAATTGTTTACTCTGAAGTTAACTCGTAAGCAAGTGATGGGTCTTATAACACACACAGACTCTCCATATATTAGAGCCCTTGGATTTATGTATATAAGGTGAGCATGCATTTATTTACATTTTAAATAAATAATCTCATTTTAGTTCACATAAACTTAATAAATCTTTCATAATTCTAGGTATACGCAGCCCCCTACCGATCTGTGGGACTGGTTTGAATCCTTCCTTGATGATGAAGAGGTATGTCAACAAGGGTAATAATTCATTTTCTTCTGATTACTCTCATACTCTTAATATTTTTATTTATTGGAGGTTTAATATCTTCCAGAATTTTCTGTAGTTAAGTCTGTTTCACCCCCATTTTTGGAACTTGTCCTTTTACTAAGATTTGGTGCCTTTTATATATTGTAAGTTAAATCTTTTAAGGGCTTTTTTTTTTCTTTTTTTTTTTTTTTTTTTTTTTTTTTTTTTTTGCTTTTAAATCGTTTAAGTGTATTTTGATAATTACAGAAAATTCTCTCTTCCTAATTATGCTCAGTGTGTTGTTTTGATCCTAACTTGTACAATTGATAGTGACTTTTAAAGTGGGACATGTCCAAGATTGAGATTGATTAGAGATATGTACACAGAATACTAATTGTAGCTTTTTTTAATTTCTGGAAATTTTAATTCTTCACTCTAATCTCTTTCACATATCAATATTTCCACCTGCATAGAACTGCATAATTAAAGAGCTGGGGTGACTAAATAATCGTTGAGATGATTTGTTGAGATAACAAAATAAGTCCTTTTTTTTTTCCGTCTCTTTCAAGACAGGGTCTCACTATGTAATTCAGGCTGACCTGGAACTCATAACAATCCTGCTTCAGCCTCCCAAGTGTTAGGCTCATATGTGTGCACCACAAGCCCAGCTTTTGTTTGGGTACTGGGGACTGAACTCAGGACCTTGCTCTTGCCAGGCAGGCACAGTGCCATTGAACTACATCCCTGGCCTGAGGATGAAGTCTCGCTGTGTTACTCAGACTGGCCTTGAACTGCTATCCTCCTGCCTCCCCTTCTTGTCTACCTAAGTAGCTCGGATTACAGGCATCCTCCACCATGCCTGGCTGATTCTTGCTTTCTGGCTCTAATATACCACACATGCCATATTTATAAAAAACAAAAGCAAGGACTGGGGATGTAGCTTGATATAAAGTACTTGCCTAGCATATTTTAAAGCCTTAGGTTTGATACCCAGTGCCACAAAAAAATAGAAAAATCTTTGCTTTGGTATTTTAGGTTTTTAATCTTCTTTGCTGTCCAGAGCCTGTGACTTGTGTTCAGAAAAGTTACTTCCGGAAGCTACTGAATCAGATTAAATTATGCTTCTATTAATTTGAAGTCTGAAATACCAGAATGTACTCAATTATGAGCTATATTGTCCATATATTAACTCCTCCCATGATTTTTACCGTTCATAAAGCAGGTTTATAGTGCTGTTTCAGTTCCTACTTAAAAAATTCATAGTTTGAAGATCTTCTATTACTTGGTCATTTTGCTTATTAACTGTTGCACATAGGGAGCAAGTATCAGTGTGCATCATGATTCAAATACTGTCCCAGAACTAATGGAGCATTCTGAATGTCCGAAAAGAATTTCAGCCTTTGCTAAAAGTTCAAGAACAGCCTGGGAATTTGCAGTTGACTCTGAAGGCTGGACTAGTCCTGCTTCAAATTTTCCCTTGAAATTTAAGTAGTCTCTTCTTTTATCAAAATACTTTAACCATTGCTGAGGACAGCTGGACTTGAAGGACCTTCTCAGCTTCTGGCAGTGGTATACGTCCCTGGCCTTCTCGTCCAAGCACTGCCAGTAGTGGCTACAGGCTCCCCAGCAGAACTGCCTCTCCTTCATGGAGGGGGCTGCCATTTCTTCTGGGAGCCAGTTGCAAGTCCTTCGTGGCTTCCTGAGGGTCCTGCGGCCCACAAATTCGTGGGAAAGGGCGTGCAGCTGGGTCCTGGCACAGCAAGTCAGTCTTCTCCCTGGCTGGGGTCACTGGCCACACTCAAAAAGTTCAAATAAAGAACTTCCTGAATTAAAGAATAATTCTAATAGAAATCTGTTGATTTTTAATTTTTCGCTCCGCTCTTTTTTTGGGGGGGGGCTCTTTACTGAGTGTTAATAATTTAGAAGAAGCAAAATATATCTTAGGTGATAATCACAATCTTTATTGTTTTTCCTCTTCAGATGATCATTTTTAAGCTAAAGCATTTCTCCTGTCTTGAAAAACACGTGTCCCTCTGCATAATTGTTGTATTGGGTTTGTTTCTGAATGCTTCTGTTAATCTGTTTTTTAATGTGTTTACAAACCTGAGGTCCTCTATTTAAGCTAACTTATGTTTTCTTCCTTAGATATCTGCAGCGATTATATTTGGAAATACTGTATATCTGAACACTTAAGTGTGTGTGAGTGCAAGCAGTTTTACCTTTAGCTCTTGTTTTCTGTTTAGATAACAAATCTCACTTTCCTTGTGTGCTTGCACTATAGGTTTGGGACTGACAATAGCTGACTAACATGTCCTGAGCTGTGAGAGGGCATAGCAAGAAGGCCTTCATGCGGTAATGACCCTTTTCAGAGACAATGGTCATCATGGATTATGCGTTTCCAATTATTTGTTCATTTATTTATTTTCTACATAACTTTTAAATTAGAAACCTCACTGCTTCATGGCAGTTGGTTTGCTATTGCTTCCAGTTTTATTAGGGAATTCATTTTATATTACAGCTTTTAAAAGATAATCGTTAGGAATTGTCTGAAGTACTTCATATGTAGCTAGGTTACAGTGTTAGGTATGATATGCCCAAATATGTCCACAGAAATATGTATTTAGTAGGAAATGTGGCATATAAATTTAAGTCAATGATTCCATATGGCTTAGTAATACAAAGAGGTTTTTCGTATTGTTAACTGAGTGAGATCAGTTTCCTTTATGGCCGTGAGGCTGCAGGGTTTGTTCTCACCTGCATGTATGCACTAAGCCCAAATATTTTCCTATGTCATTCATTATTAGATTGGGATACAAAAGCATTGAAACTTTTCTGTTAGAACATTTTTGTACTTGAGATTCCACAGACGGTAAAAAAGTTTTTTTAAATATTCATATATAGTGAAATACTTTTTTTTGACGGTTAGGGTATCTTGTGTTTCCTAGGACCTAGATGTGAAGGCTGGTGGAGGCTGTGTAATGACGATTGGAGAAATGCTGCGGTCTTTTCTTACAAAATTGGAGTGGTTTTCTACCTTGTTCCCAAGAATTCCAGTTCCAGTTCAGAAGAATATTGATCAACAGATTAAAAGTCGGCCTAGGAAAATCAAGAAAGATGGGAAAGAAGGTGTTGAGGAAATAGAAAGACATGTTGAACGCAGACGTTCAAGGTAATGTAACAAATTATATGTTTTCTTTTTTTTAAGTTCTTTCTACGAAGTTGGTGGTTCTTGCAAATCAATAAGTTCTGATTTTATTAGTTTGTGATTTTTTTTTGTCCCCCACCAAAAGATAATTTTCTTTATGTGAAATCACTTTCAGTAAAATTGTACAGCTAAATTGATAACAATTTTTTTTTTCTTGGTGCTTGGGGAATCTAGGACTAGGGCCTTATATAAGCACACTAGGCAAACATTCTACTCCTGAGCTACATGCCCAGCCCAACTTTATTCCACTCCCTGGTATTGGAGATTGAACCTGGGGCCTTGTGTGTGCTAGGCAAGTGTTTTACCACTGAACTGCTACATCCTTTTTTTTTCCCCCCTGTACTCGGACTCATACTCAGGGCCTTGTGCTTGCCAGGCGGATGCAGGGCCACTGACCTACATCCCCAGCCTGTCTCAGTTTATTTTTGAGACTGGGCCTTGCTAAGTTGTTCATGCTAGGCTTGAACTTGAACTCCTCCTGCTTCAACCTGCCACAAAATGATTATTCTTGGTATGTGTGTAATCTGAGTCCTAAAAAATGCTGGTGAAATTTTTACATTATGTTTGGCTTTTTTTTGTTTGTGTGGCACAGGGCGTTGACCCTAGGGCCTTGAGCTGCTTTCCAGCCCTTACAGCATATTCATTGGAATTTTCTTCCCTCTTTCTTAGATCTCCTAGGAGATCACTGAGTCCACGGAGGTCCCCAAGAAGATCAAGAAGTAGAAGTCATCATCGAGAGGGCCATGGGTCTTCTAGTTTTGACAGAGAATTAGAAAGAGAGAAAGAACGTCAGCGACTAGAGCGTGAAGCCAAAGAAAGAGAAAAAGAAAGGCGAAGATCCCGAAGTATTGATCGTGGGTTAGATCGCAGGCATAGCAGGAGCAGGGAAAGGCATAGAAGTCGCAGTCGAAGTCGTGATAGAAAAGGAGATAGAAGGGACAGGGATCGGGAAAGAGAGAAAGAAAATGAGAGAGGTAGAAGACGAGATCGAGATTATGATAAGGAAAGAGGTAATGACAGAGACAAGGAAAGAGAAAGATCCAGAGAACGATCCAAGGAACAGAGAAGTAGGGGTGAGGTAGAAGAGAAGAAACATAAAGAAGACAAAGAGGATAGGAGGCATAGAGATGACAAAAAAGATTCCAAAAAAGAGAAAAAACACAGTAGAAGTAGAAGCAGAGAAAGGAAACATAGAAGTAGGAGCAGAAGTAGAAATGCAGGGAAACGAAGTAGAAGCAGGAGCAAAGAGAAATCAAGTAAACATAAAAATGAAAGTAAAGAAAAATCAAATAAACGAAGTAGAAGTGGCAGTCAAGGAAGAACTGACAGTGTTGAAAAATCAAAAAAACGGGAACATAGCCCCAACAAAGAAAAATCTAGAAAGCGTAGCAGAAGCAAAGAACGATCCCACAAACGAGATCACAGTGATAGTAAGGACCAGTCAGACAAACATGATCGACGGAGGAGCCAAAGTATAGACCGAGAAAGCCAAGAAAAACAGCATAAAAACAAAGATGAGACTGTGTGAAAATTTTTGTAAAAGTGGATCATATTGAATCCTATAAATGTTTGATTAAATCTACTCTTTCTTTTTTTCCAAGTTGAGATTGTGCAGTAGTTAACACACTTCAAGCTCCCTGTTTTAGGCTGCGTTTTCATTTCTTCTTTTGTGTAGGGAAGTGCCTTTGTAATCCCATTTATTGCATTGATGTTTTCATCCAGATGTTGAGTTTGCTACATGATGCACAGATTGTTGTTGCATTTTTATTGTTTTTAAAATGTACAGTCTGTACATACGTCCTGAAAATGTTTTAATTCTTTTGGCATGGTTGCCATGTTGGTTAAATTTGTATAAGGCAATAAACTGCCACTAATTCTAATTTTGTTTTGTAGGTGTGGGGTTATGGTTTGTGTACTGAAGTTAGCATGGCTGTGCTTTTCATAATAGAATGCTAGACTTTAGGAATGGATCTTGAATGTCTTATAGGAGAATTATATGCTTTCAGTGTACATGAAGGCAGCAGTTGTAGGATTAACATTCTTGTCCACTGTATATTATCTTGGAAGGCTCTTGTTAATATGTTATACTTAATATTCTCCACAATAACATTAGAGAAAATTTAAGAGAAGTTTCAGATACAGAGATTTAAGTTAGGCTGTGATTTGATCAAAAGTCCTTTTAGCATTCTACCTCAAAGGGACACTGTTAGTATGCCTAAATTTTATTCATTTAGTTTTCCCTTTTTTATTTGAAAAACTACATGACGTGTAATCTTTTTTTCTTGAATTCTTTCTCAGATTTTTAAAATGCTATATTAAAGGAAAATGTCTAAAGCCTAGCATTCTTGCAGCAACCTTATACTAACATAAAATTGGGAGAGGGTGGGGAAGATGAGTAGAAAAGCAGATTCAAGCCTCAAGCTTCCAAAGCATTTTTATAAGTGGAAAATACTTAAATTATGAAACAGCTTGATATAGTGTCCTTTTTTTTAATTCAAAACTTTTTTTGATAATGAAGATTGCTGTTTGAGTTTTTAAACTTAACCTAGAACAGAGAAGTATTAAAAGTAATGCTGTGCTGCATTATTTAAGACTATCAACAAATTATTTGATAGATTGTTCTTATGACTTGTAATTCTGATAACAGAACCATCATGAGTGTGGAATAAATGCTGGATTAAATCCTTTCTCCTGGGTGTTGGCTTTTCCCCCATTTGTTAACTTTTTTTCAAAGTTTTTATTATGGAAATTCATAAAATGTCAATAGAATTGCATTTTGTGTGGAGAGATACTTAGTGCCCAGATGACAAGTGAATTTTAAACTTAGACTGAATTGGACATGTGTGATAGCAATCTTTATCATAAGTCTTAATGCATTTGGTTTGTTAGTGGATGTATGTGTCACTGCAGTGATATTTTTATTAATTTGTTCCAGATCAAAGGTGCTTACATAATTTCACTTGGACTGTAAAATTGGGGCCTGAAGGAAATTTCATAACTCAGATATCTAATTCTTTATAGAGCAGAAAATACAGGTTTCATCAGTACCAGGACTAAAAGACTGTCCTGACAGTATAGAGATCTTCCATTACATGCACCATTTGTTTAACCCAGTGGTTATATTGGTCAGTGAAGGACACTCAAGACACCATGCAAAAGTGTTAAAATGCTTCCTCTTGCAAGTCCTCCACTTGTGGGCTAATATTTGTACCTAATTCCATTTGAGATAAAAGCTCATTAAATGAAGGAATTCCTCTACAAAAATGCTATGCTTTCTTTCCCCCCCCACCTTTTTGCAGTGTTGGCTATCTTCCAACCCAGGGTCTAATGCATGCTAGATAAATACTCTACTGCTAGGATACAGCTCATCCCAATTACAGGACCTCTTGGAACTGATTTCTGTGGGAAGAAAATGCATCCTGATACTTAGTCTCTGAAATTTTTGTCATCCTGTCCC